CATCATCATCATCATCAATGACAGCAACATCAGTGTTGGCACTGATGCTTCACTGCCGTACAACCATAAAGTTCGTTTAGTTATATATATATATATATAATATATATAATTGTATTAAAAGCCCTAAAGTGAAGAGAAGAGAAAAAGAGTGGGTGAGGGAGGGGACCTGGTGCTGGCCTATGTCAAGCATACTGAGGTGCCTACACCTCCAACCGCTCAATCAGACAATCTGGAAAGAAACTGACAGCACGAACGCCACTGACATCGATTAGCCGCCATTTCTTGCAACGTCTCCAGCCAAGCACAGATGGGGTCACGGGGACCCCATCCTGGGAGGCGTACAACACCAACAACACCCAAACTCTTCGTGATCTCTTTCACGCCTTTTTGCCAAGTCATGTGCTGTCCACGGAGAATGATACAAGGCTATTTATTGGCTGGATTTTCAGGGGAATATTTGACCTGGATAAAACGGTTCCTGACAAATGGAGAATTTACGGCCGACTCAGGTTGAGGTAGATTCGTGACGAGTTGAACAGATTTTGATTGTGCAAGAGTTAGTCTAGTTGCGGCAGACATTTCAAACCAAAGATTACGGTGATACGGTCACGCGCATTCAAATGACTTCTTCAGATGTGCTCAAAATGCGAAGGAGACCAAGTGTGATTTTGACTTTTCGGCTCCGCCAACGGGTAGCATTCAGGATGGAGTTTGATTAACTCGTCAACATTGGACTGGAGAGGCAGCAAGATACAGCCATCAATCGATGTTAAAAACGCTCATGCCATTATTTTACACCCATATTATCAGATCGCCAATGAAGGTTTACAGGCCTTGCAGTGTTTTCAGTGAGCCGGTACGAAGTCTCTTCTACGTTCTCCCGCTTCATCATTTCACTCTATTTCAAAAACCTGTGTCGTTACGTGACACCGAAGCACCAATATCAACACCGATGTTTCGGTCTGAGATGATACGGATGCCTGATCAACAGTATGATTAAATGTCACAGACGGTGCTAACCGTTAGTCATTCATTAATCACACGGTTTGTGGCTGACAAGTGACGACATCTCAAAACAAGGTCCGTATGATCTAGTCAGCACACCGCGAGCTTTAGTTCGAAAGTGCATTCTTATAAGCTAATTAGCTTAAACCCCTTCAGGTGCCTAGCTGCCATGCGACGCTTACACTTTCACGTCTTCCGTCTTCCACAGCTCTAACCACTTGAACCATCTCGCTCCCAGCTAACTAGCTTGCGGGTTACCAAACTCAAGGTCACGAAAATTCAGGTTGTCGATTGAGAGCAAGACTACTCGGTACGGTATTGATAGATAGGGTGCCTTAGGAAAAGACGGGGCAAAATGCTGACAGGATCCGAGAGTGATACGGTTTGAACAGTCTGAAGCTGGGGCTTCGCAAAGCTGATGAGTTTCAAGACGCACTGGACACTTGTACATTGATTCCTGGCCTTTCATCAGAGGACGGTTTAGCACCACCAAAAAATAAGGTGAAAAAAGTTGCGGCGTTTATTCAACCGGAAAATGTCTCAATGCAAATGTGTGATGGATTTGATTATTGATAGACTCGATATTCATTAGAAGTTTCGTCCTTATGTTTCGGGCATCAAGCTTCGATTCCGTTCTCCATACACGTCAACGAACCGAGGGGAAATCGTCTCCATTCTGACCGGGAGAACCCACCGTACATCACATAACTGAGTCGGTTCGCCAGTTCATCGACTACAGCATCGATTGGTCATTAAAACGTACAGCGACGGCCCTAACGAACTCTGCACACAACCAATGCGTGTACCCGTAGTCAGTCTGGCGCGCGGTGACTTTTCTTCAGGAGAAGCAAACCACATTTGTCAGTCAGGAACGCGTGCAACCAATGTTTGTCCATCGCAACGTATCATGTGCTCACGGTCAAATCCACAGCTGCTCGCCTTTTGTCTCGGTTCAGTCTTACGTAGCCTGTGCATGTACAACGCAGTCAGAACAAGCTCCATGCGTCCCATCACTATCGGCTGATTCATCCACTTAAAAACTTTTTGGGGTGTGGCTGAACTGCGGACCATGGTTTCTGTCAGATGCGTCTATAAGAAGAAACAGAGTGTCCCCGACTGCAAATCCAACCAAATGCTTAGGACTGCTGCTTTTTGTCAACATACATAAAAATGAGTATGACACATATATGATCAAATGGTCGGTAGAGGACTTCGCTGCTGAGATAAGGTAACAAGGAAGCGATTCAGGCAGGCAGTCTGAGTAAACGCACAGAAGATATAATCCTCCTACTCAAACTGCACCACATGAACGTTACTCACAGTAATCAATATAGTATGGTACCCAGTAGGCTTGCATGGTCAAGTACTTGCGGACGCAGTACGTGGTCTTTGAAAAGACCCCTGCAGATGAGTACAGCCCTTTCAAAAGGACGAACTAAGGAAAAAAGGAATAACTGGTAGAAAACCTCACGATTACAACGGAAGTGTTTGAGTGCTAGAACTGGGAAGAGTAAATCAGACTGGACAGACGTAATACATTAATCATAAGTCTGCTGGAAACCTTTCTGCGATGCTGGCCTATCGTACTAACTGAATCATGAGGCGGCCTGTTGCACCTCAAACAGTTGAAGAACATCCTAAACGAGAGAACCAGTTGGGATTCAGTTACGTATCCCGCAAAAACCAAATTGGTATGCACATGAGTGTATTCCGCTAAAGCAGGTTGGGTTTCGACAGGTTCCTAGCATTTGAGTCGCCACAATTAGCTACTGTAGACTCTGGGTTGGACTGGCCTAGAAGGTACCACTTGCCTACGGGTGTACAAAACAGCAAACACGATGACGGAGAGACACGGTTCACTCAGTTTTAATCGAGTAGAGGATAGATGTCCACGAGGTAAATCCATCTGCAAACCAAGTTGGTGTTAACGGGAGACTTGACTGAATTCTAGCTAATATGACGACAATCTTCAGTTTCATGTGCCTCATGCTTCTGTTGGTACGATATTCGAGATACCGCTGCATATTTTATCGACATTACAGACTACTCGTAAGGTTGCTGAAAGTCCTGGGCTATCGAAATTTTCAGCAACCTTACAGTTATGCCGAGGTGGGATAGCTACTTCTCTCATGCTGGGGTTTATCAGTGACACAAGCACAAGAGTTTGCTGTCTTGGTAACACTGTGTATGCGTGTTGTGTAATGTCGTAATGAGTGTGGTAACGGGAAAGGAATAATCGTTTCGCTCAGTGCACGCTCACAAAAAAGAAAGTCAATCTGCTTTACCAATTACTCATGTAGATTATGAACTCGGTTCGGTGTGTCGTGCCTTGCTGAACGGTCGTGCAACACTGTGTCGGTCCTTGGCTTCCTTGGCTCCGCCCACAAGAGACACGGTAGTTTTATACAGCCCTTTATGGAGACAAAGGAAAATTATTACAACCGTATTTATACACTCGTCAAGGGTTGTTCCACAAGGTGGTAATAGAACTTTTGTGAGGGGGGCAAGAAGCGTCGAGCTAAAGATATTGGATTCTGATTGGCTGACATTCTGACCAATCAGGGCATGCCTTCGTTTGGTCCGTAGCCCACATGTGACATCCGTCCAATCAACTTGACGTTCGGCAATTATGGGCGGCTGGCCTCCTGACAGTGCCATGGCAACTTGTGGCCACCATCGAGCTCAATTAAGCTAAGTTACATTCAATCTGGTCTGAATTCGCCGAGGGTATTGTCGGAAAAATACGATTGCATACGTATACTCATATTCTGGATATATTTCCTACCGCATTGCCAACAAACCGGGGGATTTGGGATGTTAGCAAACCGCCACTTGATTGAGGGTTGAAGAAATTATACTAGAAATCTGGAGCCGGTTGATTTGATTGACTTGATTCCTGTGGCCAGCTGAGTCGAGCACCCATTCCTACATTCTCGGGTTATCAAGGGTGCCTCGTTGCAGGGCAGTACATCCTTCCACGTGAAGATGCTGTCGTGACGCGAAGTCAGTTTTAATCGCCAAAACTATGTAAAACTCAGAACGTGCGGCGAGGCGAAGTTGCTTTCGACCACCCCTCTTGAGAAAACACATCTAACTTTGATATGGCGCCTCACCGAGTTACTCAAGGGGTTGCAAACGCCCTCGAATTGACACACTTGACGCACATTATCAAGTTTAGGAAATGTGGGATAGCGGTCTGGGATTCACTTACATCAAGAGCACGGCTCCCTACTTTTGACATAATTCCCGAAAATAGCCCAAAAGGGGTATCAGCTCAGGCTGAGGCACCGAAGATCGCTCCAACCAGTCAGTTCGAAGTCACCTAATGTGAAACATATTTCGCATACGTAGATGATCGAAAAAGACCTCAACTACAATTTTGTTGGGCTCAAAAACGACAGTTTCGTGAAGTAGAACCCCGCTGTTCAAACAGAAACTTTGGTGTCTGGATTGCAACAATCGTTTCAAATAACAGGCAATAAAGAAAAATCAAAATCACGGCATCGTACCAGTCAAACTATACTGAAAGCAAATTGGAATCACGTGATCAATAACGAGTTCCGAACGATCCAAAAAGTACTTCGAAGAAGCTAGCTTACCATGAGATCGTGAACAGGGCGAAGAAGAGGTTGGCAAGAATGACGTTGATTGGACGCTTTTTCCCGTGACGAGTTTGCAGGTAAACGTTGACTTTCGCAATTTCCAAAAAGACGTCGTTTAGATCATGTAGGAATACAACCAGGGCACCGATCCGATGAAGGCTGTATGGTGAGGGAAATAGAGAGGAGATGAGTAGTGTCCCGGACATGGTGGTAGGTACAAAATTAACCTGACCTGGCAGCCTTGTGAGGCGGTCTGGAAAACTATACGGGTAAAAAAAATATATTCGTCGAATTCGCTTTGAGTGACCGGCACTCGTTCGCACCTTATTTGATAGGCGGTTACCCGCTGTTTCTGTGCCAAGCGTACTAAAAGATACGATACAATAACGATAGCAGTCCCATCCAGTGATATCGCCTTGCGCTGACAACAGGAAAAATCGTTTATACCTTGATGGATCATGCGTTGGAGTCAACTGCTTCAGATTTTGAAGCGGACAGTGTGGCAAAAAAACGCCCTTTAGATGTCATGAATCTTTGACACACAGAATGTCCTCGCGAAATTTCATTTGGTTTTATTGGTAAGGTCATTCCGAGTCACTTCTCTAATAAAGCTACAGACAGGTAGTATGCCCATTCCCTCATGAACAGACTAGACCTGGCGAGGCAGTTTGTGCCTCGGTGACCCATTGAGCTATACTCGGGAGGAGGGGGGTATCTGTAGTGATACTCGGGGTCTCTCATGAAGGTTGGTCAGTGGTTGACCAACACATTCTCCTGGCACACCAGATTGGGTTTGGACGATGCGCGCCGACTCGCACTGTGAAAATGGTGATGCACGTAAATTTCCCGCCAAACACCGCTGCCTTGCGGTCAGGTTCTTGTGGCAAAGGCTTCAATCGAGAACACTGATTGTTCTCTTGTCTTGGTCTTGGAGCCCTGACAGTATCTTAACCCACGTACAACCATGCATCCGATATAGATCAGTGACTAACTTACTGACCGGAAGCTCCGCTATTCGAATGCCATCCCGACATTTCAATTTCTCCCGTCTAAGCCACAACAACCTGACAGCATCACGACCATCGTGCTTCCTTCGCATAGCATGGCAGTTTGGCACCAAAAGCGTGTTAAAACTGAACGAGTACCGATTATTTTGCATCATCAAATCAATCTTCAAGCCTCAACGCTCATTCTGTCTGGCTGTTCGCAATGTCCTCACTCATAAGCAAGAAGGACAACAAGCTGCTCTTGCTTCCGCATTGGACTCACCTGACATTAATGTCTCTCGTGCATCAGAAATAAAAATTCAAGATGCAAGTACACAGCGGGAAGTTTAGTGTGTCAGCCTACGCCCCAATATCTGTAGCTCTGACACCACCAAAGACAAGTTTAATGACACCCCGAGTGCATTCTTATGGCCTGCTAAAATCTCAGACATCGTGGTGGTTGACGGAGACCTGAATGCGCAGATGGGCAGGCTTAGAGTATTTGAGACTTAGTCGCATGGTCGACATGGATTGAATTAGGTACTTGCGGACAATAGCGAATGAGTGCTTTAGCTATGCACTGACCGGACGCTGTTTTTAAGCATTACTAGCCTCCGAAAATAACGAATTCGTCTCACCACATGGTGATCCCCGAGAGAGTACCAACCACGAACCAAACCTGACCACATTGCTATCGGTTACCGATGGCACCGATGAGGTCAATGCACGGGTCTGCAAGGCTTGGGTCAAGTTTACTAATTTGAGATACCTATGGCGTCAAAGCGCCATGTCCCTGAACCTCAAGAAACGTGTGTATCATCATCATCAGCTGTAAGAACCGCGTACTTGTCGTACGATGGCTCTAGCTGCCACAGTTCCCTTTACCGATGATTTGGGGAGATGGCGCATTTAGCTGAGGAGTAAGAGTGGCAGTTGTTATGAATGATGCGTGAGTAAAGGGTTGTCAGAGGGCTTTTCATTGGGGAGATTGGGAGGGAAGTTATGCACTGGAGGCGATAGGTTGGATGCACGGGCGCCATCGGGGGCGCGACTGAGCCATATCTGATGATGTCTCTAACTATCCATTTGTCCCATTTCGGGGTCCAATCCAGGACTGTAGTGACCAGCACAAATGAGTTTGCTGGTAATGACTATCATACTTCGCTGCCAAGCCATTGTTTGACCCCCTGGCTCAACTTCCGCCCTTCAAGTGGTGTACGACGAAGCCAGTTGAACGGAGCACGTGGCCAAGCCAGTGCAATCTATGAAGTATGGTCAGCTCATCTATCGGGGGTGAGTTATTTCTTCCGAAAATCATTCGACATAGTTCAACATTACCGACCGAGTGTTCCCACCACACCAAGGCAATGCTCGGGAGACATCGATGGTCCTCAGCACGCAGCGGCCAGGTTTCTGACGCGTATAATAATATGGCGTGCACTGCAGCATTGTACACTCGACCACTGACCAAACGTTGTCACGCATACGCCGCAGGTGATGCAGGTTCACAAAAGCTGTTCTGGCCTTCCAAATCCGGATGAAAATATCATCTTTCGCGGGATCACCAGGACTGGTAAAGCTGCTCAGTTAGACAAATTTGTCTACTAACTCAATTGGTTCATTCATGAGCATGAGGTCAGGGTTCGAGCCCACCCAGTCTTGCTGTAGCACTGTAAAAATGTGCAGGTATGAAGCGCATGCCAAAGCATGAGGCAGCATGGTTTATATTATTTAATACTGTTCGTATTATCATGGCGTCAGATCCAAGAAGAGCTATGTCGTCTGTGTACTTGATATCCGTGAGCGAACGCCCCAGGGGCCCTTCAGCTCTACAGACGTTAGAGGCTGGTAGTGAATCTTCCACAATCGTAACAATGGCGAACTTGGAGAGAAAGGGCAAAAGAGCCTTTCCTGACTCCAATCGATGTGGCGAACCAAGGCGACAGCTTCCCGTGTCAGGCCACACTACGGGCTGTTTTGTTGTACGGCCGTAAGACATAGCCTGTTCGAGCAGCGGAACGGAGACGACTTCAGGTCTTCGACAATCCTTGTCTCAGAACCATAGTGTAGGTTGGTGTCGGCGAATGAGTAACGAGGCAGCTAGAAACCGAGTGGTAATTTGTACAGTTGGGACTTCCACTGAAGATAGTATCCAGCACCAGAAGCTGCACTGGTTAGGCTATGTAATGCGCATGCCGAACCATTGTTTGGCGAAGAGGGTACTGTTTTCGGTGCGCGATTCAGACTGGCGGAAGCAAAGAGGCGGCTAATTTCTGACAAGGAAGAGGGGAATGAGGTAGATTACGAAAAGTCCGGGTGCTGCCGGTGAGGCCCGCTTTCCAGGGTGGGGATGGTGTTTTTGTCGTCAGTTTCTATCCAGATTGCCTGAGTGTCCGGAGGTGTAGGCACTCAAAGAGATTGTAGAAGGCTAGCAATAAGACCCTTATTCATCTACTATGATTCTTTTCTTCACAATAGGATTTTCAAACAAACTATGGTTGTATGGTAGCGAAGCATCAGTGTTGAACACGGATGCTGTGTTGTCCATCATGGGTATGCTCATGGCCGTGATTTGAAGATTAATAATCAAGACTGAAAAACCACGATACCTAGAATTTCCATGTAAGCCCATTAAAACAGATGTACTAACTACGAATTCTCACTTGCCGCCTAGGTTCACCAAAAAATAGGGTACCCGGGAAAAACACACATTTGGAGGGCCCATGAAGATTGACTTTATCAACCGCTGTCCATGTGGACGGGCTATTGTTTCCCGTCTGCGTGGTGACGTTAATACGGTGCGTTGTTCTGGCTCAGTTCATCATCGATATTTGGCAAAAAAGGCCCCAAACAAACCAAAATCGGCGATGTGCCAACAGCATTGAAATACAGACCACTGACAAACGAAGAACAGTTAAACAAATATAGGGACGCACTGAAACGATTTGAAGAAGGATCTGAGACGACCTTCCCGTGAAACTGGATGAGAGACAATACCAGATCTGATCCAGTTGCAGAAGGGTCCTACGAGAGGGAATTCGCGGGGACGAGTGAAGCTACTATTGAAACCCTACCGATGCAGTGCCAGTGCCCTCCAACAAAAAAACTAGAGGATTAGAGTGATCTCCAGTCAGTGAACTAGCACTTCGCACTTTGAAAGTGTGTAAACCCTTTAGCAAATCGAAAGATTCCGTTTGTTTACTGTGGTTTACCTGGTTATAAAACGCACACGATAGCCAAAGGTGTCAAGCTGTGTGCTCACTATCTGTAAGCAAACAGTTTGGGAGGACTTGGAACATACGAAGCCAAGGGACTACTGTCGTCCAATAGTTGGTTCGACAAGCAGTCTGGAGCTAGGGTAGTCTACCATGAACAAGGAGTAATGAATGATGAAACAATGCAAAAACAATCAAACAGCTAGATCATAGGCTATGTCTATCCAACAACCGCAGTGGTCCTGGACAGACAAACAGCCAGGCGTGGTTACCATAACGATCAGACGGACAACAATTGCCCTCGTTAGATTTCACGATTGTTACTTTTAATAGCATGCAGCTTCATGTTGAGATGATAACGTGAAAGACATATACTGCAGTCTTGGGACGATAACACCAGAGTAATTAGTCTCCTAGCCATTCTTCCAGTTAATTCAATCGGCCAGCCCATGAATAGCACGCCCGGCTGTGGGACGCTGTCAATGAAATTTGAACGGGGAATACTGCCATTCATTACACAACCACCACAAAAATTCAGTGTGAAATCGGGCGCTTTATCGACCATGGCACAGTACTCTACTGTTTATATGGCCCTCGTGACAAACACAATCATAACAAGGGTACTGCTCACATTCCCATTCTCACATACATATGTTAGCGTGCACTCACTCCCAAAAAACATAGATTCATATGACGTGACCTGGTGTTCACTCTTATCTGTCCACAAAATTTCGACAAAAATTCTGAGAATTCATCACCTGATGGGTCAATCGATTCCAAAGTAGACGATTTGTATTTCCACATACAAGAGTATAAGAATAACCACTATGCTGATCAACTATCCAAGGTTTAAATCAACTCATACTTGGGACACTACGGGTGAGGAGCCAATCGGCAGTCTCACTTAACCAAAATAAAAGAAACAAAATTCCCACTGATGTCCCTTCCTACACGGTAGCCTCTAATATTTGAAGTTCCATTAGAACATGACGCTTCAGTCCTCGTTCTACCCCTGTCACAGAAAAAAAAACTTTCTTCAAAGGTCGCCTGTTCCGTCCTGTTCTTACACTATGGTACTAGACTTTGTTTTTGAAGCCCAACTGATAAATCTCCTTATTGCCGAGGTTGTCTTGTAAGTCCCCTCTGCCCCCAAATCGCCAATGTATGGAAATCTCTAGCAGAAACCCAAGTCACGAACAAGTCACTCTAAACCTATGTCGTCTGTTCATCAATGACAACAGTGCTTTACTTCAACTGGGGCGGACATTTAACTGTCGTAAAACTGATCCCTAGTGACCTTTGATTTCAAAAGCAAAGTGGTGATCTTGTAAAGAGTCCTGAAATCCTCATTAGTGGCTATCCGCACTTGCTCCCCGGGAAACGTGAGACTAGTGCAAAGACGATTGCTCAGCTAAGCTGTTAGAATAGCGTGTTGTGTATTTGATATTCAGTAACCTTCAGCTCACACAAAATTGGAAATCGATGCTCCGTAAAAAAATGGACGATTCCCGGAACAAACCGAAAGCACAAAACACAAGCTGCGTGCGGCGGTTATCAACATCAAATATGCATCAGTACTGGCCGGTAGACCCGAATGGCGTGTGCAAAGTGAGTAACTCTGAAGAAAACTAGGGGTCACGTGAATGCGGTTTGTGGTACAGACACTGTCTGACCAAAAACTGGACTGCAAGACGGAGCACAGCAAAAGACAAGGCAGGTTATACGAACTGGAACAGGATAGAAGCAGCAAAACCGAAGTGAGGTCAAAATTACGTTCTGTTGGTTGGCTGTACAACGACACGAAAAGACGGAGCGTAAGACAGACGGGCAGAAAGCACCGAAATAGTCACCATCATCGCGCGTCCACGCACCCTTTACAGTGTACACCTGTACAAGAGTAGCATTTAGTTGGAAACAAGAAGAGCCGTCAGACTATGGCACAATCGGACAACCTGCCTCAGTTTCAACCTATGGAAAAGCAGCTTGGTTTGTGAATATTCTACTACTAGCTGTTAAGGTCCCTGGCATCAAGCAGCGTGACTAGACCAGTATTTTTGTGGTGTAAACATGGTGTTTATCGAAACGGTGTCCCCGGGATTCAGAATACAACTGGATTTCCCTCACAATGACAGAAGAGACTCAGTTGTTTCGATGCCTCAGCCTGGTCAGCCCTTTCAGATACCACAAAAACAGCCATACATACATGTTCATTAGATGTTTCCGAACATGTGGTTCGGTTAGAATTGGTTTCACATGGAGGTTCGCTGTATCACAAATGTTTTGTTATCATTACACCTCACCGCCGCATACATCCAGGGTTGGAACATCAACCAATCCAGCTCTGCCATTCAAGCGATAAGTCTGGCTGGTTGTCAGAATGCGAAAAATGCCAGGAAGCTGAACACTAACTGGTTTACCAGAGTCTAACCACCAACTGCATTCACCACAGACTATTAAACATTGCAAGCTCGTTTGCATCGTTGTATTCTGACATAAACAAGAAACCTACCATGTGTTTTAACCATGAAGAAAAAAAGAACTCATCATGACGTTTGAAGTCACCAGCTGCGGGTACGCCCCATCTACACCTCATCTAAACTGCATTGATCACATGTCAACGACGAATGCATCCAGGTGTGAATTGGAAAATACTCTATTCCGATACACCATTTCGTTTGAAATCTTACCGTTTGTTCGAAACGATCGATCCCTACTTTCAAGTGACAATTTCCACAAATATCGAGTGCACTAGTAATCACAGCGCTAACCAAGTACAAAATTCTGTCAATCAGTATATACTCGGTGTCAGTTTGTAGTGATTAAAGTATCTCATCAATCGATTATGCTATGGGGCGAATTGCGATGGACTGATGACAACAAAACAGACCTCTTCATCACTTTTGAAACGTAAGAAAGTCGTTCTAATATTTCCATCATTTGACAGAATGGAGCTTGTGTGTTGGTTCATACGCAGTCAGTAAGCGTGCGTTTTAATTTTCTGTGAATACGGAGAAAAAACGAGCCGTTGGTCAGTATGAAAACAATTAGCCGTGCGACCGCTCGGAAAGTATCTGAACACTTTCTCGTTCAGTTACGGATGATTGGTAGAAGGTGTAGTTAACCTGCACCTAGAGTAGATAAAGTACACCTATACTCTCCAGTCACGCAGTTAACGTCATATGATCTGGTGTTGGCTAGCTCGATAAGTGATAACTCACAAAACACAAACTTCAGAGATTTTTTTCCGTCTGAGCTGATGGGATGTCAAGAGTGTGACAGAACACGATCATCATCTGACGACGTAAAATAGTATGAAACAAAACAACAGAGGGGGAGGATTTTCAAACCAAAGCCAACGTCAGTCGGGAATAAGTTTAACGAAATGGCGAAAAATTATCAAGTGAGAGTTTTGAGCCTGGTAATTGCAGAAGGACAGTTCGAATTCGTGGAAAATTAGGCGAGCATTCGTAGCTTGTTGGATACAAGCCATCGGTAAGGCATTGAGGAGTCCCCTCATCTATTTGTGAAAATGAGCAAAGATAACTATCACAGGATGTGCACACATTTCAAAAAGCACGACACATGTGTGCCAACAATAAAATAGGACTAGAACAGACACATTTCGCTTCTGTGATCAACCGAAATGAATTCCTTCAGTCTCATGTTGTAGGCACTGTTTGCAAAAGGGTGATGGACTGATTATCGACTGTTGACTGTCACGCCTACCGGTACTTCGCATTTCTCTATCCGTTAACGGCCGGTAAAAAATACATTCTTCTCCCCGTAACTATGTTGGCGGTCTTCACAAATGAATCCGAACCGAGTGATGCCACTAAATGGAAGAATGCTGTCTGGTGCACTCTGTTCAGCTCACGACATCTGTCTCGTTGTTACCAAGTCAACGTATGTCTGGATATACTTGCTACAAGAATCATTGTTAACTTGTGATTTGAAAAATGGATGATCAAATGGCGTTCTGCTTTTATGGAAGTGGAACAGGTGCACTCATTGTTGCACTGACCTTGAGGCACGAGAACACGTATAATCAATATATACTGTATATATATATATATATATGCAGTAAAATAATAAAATAAGTGTTCAGCTCTAATGTCCTCTCAATGCAGAGCTGAGAGGAAGGAAATACGAAAACTGGGATACCAGAAGGCGGCCCTAGCCTAGATAGAAGTAGTCAAAATACAGGGGACGGGTTCAGACTACAAACTTTCTGGTCAGTAGGTTGGAGCCTTAAGCACTGAGCTACCTCGGTAGTGATCGGATGACGAACTGGCAAATCGACAACAACGTTGCAAGTGCACTAGTGGACGTACCGTAGCACCAGAGAGAATTGGAGAAGCAGTAATGTCATGAAATGATGAATAATCAGCACAGCGGAGTCTTTACGCCACACATCAATGAACAGAACGCTCCAGAGAGAATGCAAGTAGAAGCCAAGCTGGAGTAGGTAGACACGGTAGTAATCCGGTGGTGTTGGAACGTCGAAATATCCAACTAGCAAATAGAGTTCGAATGAAAAAAATAAACAGGGTAAGCAGAATCGTCGAAAGTGTTGAATACACGAGAAACCTGACAAACGGGTTGATAACGATTCTGATAATGATGGGATACTGAAAACTAACTGGTGTTCGGAAAAGTCCATCATGAGCGACAAGCTAGAGCATAACGAAACAAACTGTGCAGAGTACTAGTGTGTGACAATATGACAAGACATGAATGATTGGGTCACATGACCTTCAGCAAATGGAGCACGGCGTGGGTCCTGAAGTTCGGTCTGATCATTGTTGCCCGAATTCCTCGACCCAAATGGAAAGAATAAGATCACAGTATGAGATTCTGTCGTGTAAACAAAACCATTTTATGCAGAAATGTACAACTGTACAACTGTTTCATCCTTATTGACATCATATATATGCTTCACTATATGCGTTCAGCTGTAACACCCTTCCGGTGCCTAGCTGCCATGCCACCGGAAGGGAGCAAGAGGGCTGGGATACTGCCAGGTTGCCCAAGCCTAGACAGGGGAAGTCGAGTGGCGGAGGTCGGATTCGAACCACGGACCTTCCGGTTAGTAAATTCGCTCTCTAACCACTTCGGCCATCTCGCCCCCTTATTGGCATCATCAGCAGTACGCATCTCACAAAACTACGGAGGGTGTCGAAGCCGCGAACTACCGGCTTGTAATTTGAACATTTGACCGTTCGACTATAGGCGGCTGTTCAGAAGTGTGATTAACTCACGCTTAGAAAGGATACATCGCTACTCATCCTGCAACCACGGAACCCAGATCACATAGTAAAACTGTGTTTTTAACTTGTGCGCTAGCTAGATTTGTCACAATTGTCTGCAAGTTCGCAGCACAATTGGGACTCTGTTGGACAATCGTAATCCGTCTGTCTGAATGGGTTTTGTGCCCGTTGCTGTGTGCGGTACGTTCTGATAACCAATTACCCAGGAGAGACAGTAACATTGTCATATTTATTGACCATGTTTATTCCGTATCGCTTAGCCACAACAGATCTCTATCCACAACAGAAATGGAATCTTAAACCATGCAAGATCGAGTCTGCTATCACTTTGGTCCTCTTGTGAATGCTCTGTCCCTTTTTACATAGCGAACTAACGACAAGCCCAACCAACTAAGTCATTCAGAACCCGCTGTTTATCATCGGTGGACGAGATGGCCCAAGTGGTTAGAGCGCGAATTTACTGACCGGAAGGTCCGTGGTTCGAATCCGACCTCCGCCACTCGACTTCCCCTGCTCAGGCTTGGGCAACGTGGCAGTATCCCAGCCCTCTTGCTTCCTTCGGGTGGCATGGCAGCTAAGCACCGGAAGGGTGCTACAGCTGAACGCTTTCGCTTTTTTTCACTTTCATTTCTTGGTCTGTCTACTTAGCTCTATACTGCACGTTAGCTTCAAGTTAGCCATGTTCGTATGTCTCAAACACATGGAGAATCTCTCAGCGGTTATTTAATCCGATTCAATTCAATTTATCAGCTATAGACCGTGTGCTATGGGTTCCAGCTGCTACAGTTTCGATCACCTGAAAACGGGAAAGTGGAATACAAAACCAAGCCTAGGAGGCGAAGGAATGCTAAGTTTGTTCGGAAATTGGGTATCCACGCATTGAAGGCGATAACTTTGATGCACGAGTGCCACTGACTGCGCGATCGGGCCATTTCCACCAATGTCAATAACCACTGGTTATTTGAGTCCCGGGGTCCCAATCCAGGGAGGCGGCAGTTGCCCACCCGACTTTGTTTACTGGTTACTGGACACATCTGATTGTCAAATGCGAATTAACGAGTAGTTTCACGTTGCAGAAACTTGTCAACCGGTAACTTCCGCTTCGCACTGGAGCACGAACTCCGTGCTAAAAACCTGGTTTTCTTGGTACTTCTTTCAGGATATTGTTCACGATCATATGCAACGCAAATCAAGCCTGTTCCGGTACCTTTGTAGACAAACATCATTTATTTGCCCAACGACAAAAACAAAAAATTTGTATGGTACACTTCAACTGAATTAAATGAATATATACATGGGATAACCTACTAACGAATTCCATATATGATCGTACACGCTGCAGGTATGAAATTAAGCATTATTGGATATATTCCGGCACATTGCACGTGTCGGGTGTAGCCCAGGTCGAGGTATCGAACAAACCAACTTACTAGAGATTCGTACTCTCAAAACCCAACATGAGGCTTTGGGAGTTTCGTGCGCATTACGTCTAATTCGATCTTGATGTAAGCGAAACGCTGCACCCAGAGATAATTTTTGGAGAAATGAATATTTCGTGGTAGATGGGAGCAGCGGACAAGAAAAACGGGCGACCCTTTGTGGGATCAGTACATCATATGCGCACAAATCCAGAAATAAATTATGAAGGAGAAAGATCCTTACAAATGATACGACCCATCCTGCAGACACTGCGTTAGGATGGTATGGTGGGTTTTCTTTACAGCTAACTGACTGACCTTCAAAACGCACTCCTTTGAAGATGCGCAACGGATATTGGAAATCAGTGCGACCACTGAGAATGAGAGTGTGAAAAGTGCACAGCCAGAGGACAAGGAACCAAAAAGCCTTCCAACTGGACTCAAGTAACCTCTGAGTGGTTTTTACGGGGATTCCAAGGCGCACAGTCAGATGCTGAAATGAACGGTAAGAGGATGCAAAAAGGTGAAGTCAAACCAAGCATAGATGTTCTAAAGGGGGAGAGAAACGAATGCAGGCCACTCAAACTCAACAGGGGAAGTACCTAGGGATTCCAACCCTTCGCAAACGACAGCCCATTGTACTTTGTAGAAGGCTGAGCTCGTGATACTACTCACTTGAATTGGGGAACACCCTACTCTTGACTAGCATCACATGGATTTCTAATGCCATATTAAAGACTGATCATTTTCTCTGCTGAACAGTGCTATCGTGGATGTGTTTAACAAATTGAAAATGAGCATCGAGGGTGTGCAAAACAGCGGGGTGAAAAGTTGAATGACATGCAAGAACATCAAAGCTTAGTCGCAAACAAGAGAGTATAATACCAGCGGAGTTTAGTGGAGTGCCCGACCACGGTGACAAATATGGGTCAATTGGAGCTAACCCCCTCCAAGGAATGAACCAAACATGTGGTTTCCCTACTTTCTGTACTGTACTCTGTTGTCGAAATGCCAGAGAACTCTGTGCTATACGATGACTAAAATAGCTAGAAACATGCATCAATGACAGGAATATCTGGGCTGCGAGACAAAACCATCTCAGACAGTCTGAGAAAGCTAGCCGTGGAGAGTTGTCGATCTTGTTGACGACTTAAATCACGTGTACCAGAATGCTAAAAGCTGAAAATTGGGATGAGGATGGTAGGAAGGCAAACCAAAAGATCCGAAAAGCCAGAATAGAGTAGATAAGAAAACGTTCATGTGGAAAATACTACCGACAGTTTCCGAGAAGAGATGAGCCGAGTTGTGAGTCGAGACCGAATTACAATGGGTCTTAAGAGGCATTCTCTGGATTCATCACAACACAGCGCCTACTGGGAGGATTCTGGCGCAATCTTTTGGCATCCATGCCTCCATGGCAGAGATTAATGAAATGCAGGAGAAATGCACATTACTCGGTCGAAAATCACACTGGTTGCTCGATCAGTATTATGGAGCCTAGCAAGCGGTGTCCCAGGCGTCGTTAGGCTTCGATCCAGAACCCAGAAATCTATTAAGCATTCCACTCCGATTTTGTTCCCCGTCAGTTTATGTCAGTCAAACAAGATCCGAAAGCGCAGCATATGCCCACCCATGAACCTTCTGGCAACCGCACACTCGTGACCGATACAATTCGTCAACCCCGATGCTCAGATTGCCGCACACGATTTGGGCAGTCCCAAGAGTTCCTCGATGAAGCTATTGTCGTCAAGCCATAGTCAATCGTCATTTCTCGAGAGTCCTTCCTGCCTTTGCTCTCGCACAGATGACTGCCTAGTTATCTTCTGGTTTATACCACGATACAAGCGCTCCTCATTGATTGACTTCAACGAGAGTCTTCATGCTTCCGAGTCAACTTGCCATGCCTGTTGCCTCACTTTCCACCACTCACTGAACATACTGCTTGTATCGCGATAAATATCTCAAGTCTTCGCTCATTCTGTTTTATGCGATTCCATTGTAAACCCTGTACGCTCTTATCTGGACCGATCATGTTTATTTCGCATTTTCACTTTCAAGCGGCGCACGTCTTTTCGTTTGTTGCATCAAATACTGTTGCCCGCCCATTTCACAAGAATTTCCACATTTTGTGTTCTCTCTCTTTCTCCTCGGTATCTGAGCATTATCACATTTACTTTGGTAAGGCGTTATACTGGTTACTGTTTATCCGGAGTACTGATAGAAAAGCAGGCTAGTCACATGTTCGTTCAGCGACTAGCCAATATCTGGTCGTGTAGTAGTGAGCTCAGCATCTCGGATGAAGGCCTGCTGAGACCACACTACGAACATTGGGTTTTGTCACAGGCTTTATCCGAACGAATCAACATGGCCACACGACAGTTAGGCAACCCAGCTCCTCTGGTATTACCGTCACTCATAGTGCAGATGATTACACCAGATGACTATACCGAAGTGAGGTCGTTTTAACCCCAGGTACTCGAAATCTCTTCGCAATGACGTCCAACAACACTCTTCTGTTTAAGGGTTCGTCGTGAAAAGGCACAAAACTGGTATGGAGTGGAAGGTAGCCACCTGCACTGTCGAGCGTGAAAGTCCTGTTGATTGGTTCTACAAGCACTGGCATGGACTGTACTCGCACGCATGGCCTGCTCCACTGTTGACCTGCATCGACTGGTCCTGGATGCTCTGATTAAGTAAGCCATCTTTCATCACTCCTGATCATTCGTATTACAGAGACGATCAATCACTCTCCATATTATCAAATACAGACAGACGCCTCGATGAGACACCCGGGCTGGAAACCAGAATATTAAAGTGTAGTGGTCAGGGATGGATGAAAATTCTAAAGTTCAAAACCGATGAATTCCTGGTCTTCTTTTTCATTTCGAGGCGAGTAGGTTTGTTTTTAGAGACAGTTGCCATCCCCACTCATTTATTGCATAGCACGTACACGAAACCGTACATTGCACATAGACCGGTTTTCAGCCCTTTTTCCTTAACGCCCACAATTCTAGTACCAACATCTCAAACGGGATTGGACAGTAGGAATTGCCGAAACTGGGTTTTGATACAGGTCTCCCACAGTGAAAACTCTGCAGCATTCAAGACAGCCTTCGGCAGTTCCAGTTGCACACGGAGAACTATGTTATTAACAGTAACCTCCCTCCTAAAGCGGCGAAGTTAGTTAACTTGTAAAAGTCATTTGCGGGGATTTTCCACCGGAATAGGTCAATTTTATTAACAGATATGGTGATAACGACTTGATAAAAGCCCACCAGTCACTAGCTTACCTCACAGTTTCAGGCTAACTTCGAGGGAATTCTGAGGGTCTTTTACTTGATACAGTAACTAGAATCTCTATCTTTTACAAAAAAACCGTAAAGCCTTACCGAAAGCCTTCTCTCAAAAGGCCACTGAGACAACTAAATTTAGATAACCGAAGGCCGAAGCGCTGCTCATCGTACTCATAGCTCTGATAAAGCACTACATGAGTCCACCGACCCATATGTATGTTGACGAGACATCGTTCATGAGCAACGCGATAAGCGAACAAGATACCTGGAAGCTCACCCCGCCCCCAAATACAAGATGAAAACCGCGCTACCGACTAACTGTCTGCTGCGCAATAGACAACGTTCTTCAAGAGAATTTCTTTTTTAAAGTGGAGGCAGTGTTATCGGAAGGCTAGATTGGATCTCTCATTTTTAATGCTATCCAGTTTATCCTAATTGGCAAGCGAGAGCTCATTAGAAAATATGTTCAACTTCACGCCAAAGAACGGACCAAAGTTAATAAAAAAAATTGGGGATTAGGTACGCCAGATGAGCATCTAACAGGGCGAAGCGGGTGTCAGGCTTCCAGAAGTGTTCATCAACTTTATGAATAGCCTCGGCTTAAAATAACGATTTTAGAATTTTGAGCGTTCCGTAACTCTTCACATTCAAGGCCTTCATTACTACCAGACATGATCATCTCGAAAATCGCTTCAGGTACTTCATCCAGCTAGACACTAGAACTGCCAATGCCACCAATTCCCGCCATCCATAGAGTAGCATTAGGCAATCATGGAAATGCAGAAGAGTATTCGCTTATTCGTGCAATCAATGTCAACATAAGTTTGCAACAGGTCCAGTGAATTTCGCGGCCTTCCTTCACTTCGCGTGTGCTTCTAATGATAACGGGGATACTTACGGATGCCCACTTTGGCAAATGCAGGGCCCAATCATGTTTTTCTGAATCAGAATCACTGTAGATGGATGAACTCTATCTGAGTCAGTGGTGACTCTGTCCAAAAGAACGAATCTGTTAAGCGCACACAGCGAAGTACACTTGAGCTTATATGAAAGATAATAAGATAATCGTTCAGCTGTAACACTTTTCCGGTGCCTAGCTGCCATGTCGCCCGGAGGAAGCACGAGGGCTGGGATGCTGCCAGGTTGCCCCAGCCTAGACGGGAAAGTGGAGCTGCAGAGGTCGGTTTCGAACCTTACGGTCAGTAAATTCGCGCCCAAACATCTGAGCCATCTCGCCCCCCACCCTGCTTACGTGAAACGAACCCGGGAAACAGATCGGTCTCACAGTGCCTAAGGCCTTCTTTGGACATCTCTGAATATTTTGAAAACGTCTAGATATAGTTAGTCTATCCGCAAACAGTTGACGATTCCTTGATGATGAGTCTAGATTTCCTGTGAGCTGTACAGAATATCAGGTGGTACGGCATAAGTTAAGTGCCTATTTGGGTACTTTGGGTACTTTGCATCCTGTGATCTCAACATTCTTGAGACATTGGGTGAGAAATACCAATAAATTTCAAAAGATAGAACTATGGGTAAATCTCATTCTTTTCGTCAAAATAACACGATACACCAAAGCGTAGGCAAGTTGGAATGACTCAACTATAAGCTTACAACACAGGACAGTGGGTGCATACGACTAAGTGGGGGAAATGTTTACGTAGAGAATTAGGGCCTCTTCTAGTGGGGTGCGCTGGCCTCACGCACGGTGCAGAGTGAACCTCATTGGGCCCAGTGGGGGAGAGGTTCCTAATTCTCACAGAGATTTCAATGACAAACCGAAAGTTGATCTGAACGCGGGATATTCTCTATTCAGGGATTATTTTTTCAAGTACGCGGAACTATCTCCTTAGGGGCCACACTACATGCACCGCCCTTTTAGAGCGACCGACTTCGGTCTGTTCTACGGAATTCCTATCGTGAGTGAGTTCCCACGTTTCCGGTTGCAAAGGCTGAAATAAATTCTCTCCCTATTAATTCCTCCTCTAAAAGCAGTAGATATTTACTATTAACCGGAAAATGCACATACAAGGTTCAATATATGTATATGAAAGTGGACTGGCAACCTGACAGCATCCCAGCCCTAGTGCTTCCTTCGGGAGGCATGGCAGCTAGGCACCGGAAGAGTGTTACAGCTGAACGATTTTTTCTGGGTTGGGACGATCAACCGAAACACACAGGGTGGATATACTGTGATACGTTTCGAGGCCCGTTATTTACCGAAAACAATCTGTCTGGAGTTGCGGAGAGCCTTCATTGAAGTGGTCAGATGTGGTAAACGACAAATATAGGTTCAAATTCACGTAGCGGCATGTAGCCCAATTCCATGTGCATTTTAACAGTGGACATCTTGTGAGTGCAACGGTCGGAAGCAACTGTTTATGACTGGACTGGTTAACACTTGATGTAAATTGCTTTTCACCTAATCTGCTCTGCTCTTCACAATGTTTCAACCACTTGGAAGTGTAATTAAAGGTACAGTGCGGATAACTGGGAACACGGTAGGAATACGGGCTAATGCATACTGTTGCAAAAAAACACATTAACATTTCCAAAGCACGTATGATTAGGCATTCGGTACGAACTTCGAGTTGACCTTTTTGGAGATTGTACCTACGTTCATGGCGAATAGTGTGGGGCTAGTGATTGCTGTTTGTGCCACGAATGATATTCGTATTAGATATCAAAAACAAAGCATCCTAAATAAATGGTCTAATGCCATCAACATCTGCCATCGTCTAGTTAGCGTGGTTTTCTGTGTCTACTTCCTTACTTTCTGTTTGCTCCGAAAAATCCACAATTTGTCCCGGAAGTCACGGAAACCAATATGATGGTCAGTGTTAGAATAGCAAACAAAACTCTTCAGCTGGTCTATTAAAATGGGACCAATGTGCTAGAATTTTGTCCCTTTTTCACGTGTATCACTCTCAGATGACTTCACGAATGTCCCCGAAACAATCCAGTTTATTACCTGAGAGTTGGTGAGGGAATATCCAAAAAACTGATCCTCACAACTAACGCACTCCATCAAACTCAATCACCCTAGGAGAAGACAAGCTCCTCATTTTAGGTAACGTTGCGCACTAGAGTGTTGCTGATGAACGATTGTTTTTACCTTCAAGCTGCTTTTTATCTCTAACGCAATGCTCCTGCCGTTTCTGTGGTAACAAGGAAACACTGGGTAGCATACAATGGGTCAGAACAAAAGGTGTGTTAGTCCTTTTGTCTAGGGTCTTGAGGCTAGCCAGTCCAAATCTTAATGGCAAACAGGCGGAGATAATAAATAAATAACAATGTTTCAGCCGTAACGACCCTCTGGTGCCTAGCTGCCATCCCACCCGAAGGAACTACGGGGGCCGAGATACTGCCAGGCTGCCCAAGCCTAGACAGAAACAGTCGAGTTGCAGAGGTCAGGTTGGAACCACAGACCTTCCGGTCAGTAAGTTCACGCCTTAACCACTGTGCCATCTCGAGCTCGAGGTGGTGTGACATGTTTCAGTCGTGGTGCTCGACAAACTTGGACAGACAAGGGAATGTGAGGACAGACCATTACCCTGAACTTAGTATTTACCGAGTCTTTGTTGTATCTTTGCCCCCTTTCATCTCATATTTTGCGCCGATTGCCTGTGGCAATTGTACATTGAAGGAGCTGTAGTGACTCAAGTATCGGTGTCATGGCATTCTGCCGCGCTTCAATGTCGAAGATGAAACTCGCACGTGCGACAGACGACCACTCATTCATAGCATTCGCCGAAAATGATTTCGTGTCGTTACGAGGGAGTCTCAGTATTATATATGCGGAGATCGGCGTCATCGACATTCTGGTGAAAAAGTGAAAACAACGTGACCAACAACACAACACGAAGCTTAGATGGATCATGCATTCGGGTCATCCATGAGCGGAAGGAATGTTGTAGACTGCGTGTGTAATAGTACCACGAAAATCGATGCCGGAACACACCGTTCAAAATGAACGAGTTAGAGGATCGTACCCTCCATTTCAACCAACTGATCAAAGATGACAGATGACAGTAAGTTGGCACTTTTTTCTACCATCTTCAATCGCAGATGTAAGATGCTGAATTTAACGAATAATGTCGGATTTCCGTTCGAGTCTAGTGATGCTGCAATGAGTAGTCATTTAGGCCTAACAGCAGCAATAACAACCATGGAAATGGCTAGACAGGACTAGTGATGAACTTAAAAGATCTCCGAGAAATACACTCATTTGCAAATCAATTTGGTTTTCACGAAAGACTCAAGTGAATCTCTCGCTTATGATATTCTACAACTGAATGTGCTACACACAGGCCGCCTCACGTTTCAGTTGGCAGGATATTCGAGTATTTCTTCATAAAGGGAACTACTCACTGAAAACTCTTCGACAGCCCACGACCGGTTTCGCCCTTCCACTTCGGGCTCATCAGGTAGGCGCAGTCCCCGAGTTTCCGTCAACCTTATGTTCTACTTGAATCCAAATTGGACTGTTTTCGAGAAATACACCCATGTGCAAATCAATTTGGTTTCAACGGCGTTTTGTTGGTGACCTTTTTGTTATCACTTGCTTAAACACCCTCGACTCCAATCTCCGGTGCTACAGTTAGATGTGAAATGGACGGAGGCTTATCCTTTTTCTATGTACTAATACGCCTCTACCATAAGCATACGTGAAATTACCAGCAGTTGAGTTGCCGGGCTACATTCCAATGGTGCGAGTCAATAGGTACTTCATTTTACATAGCGAGAAGACTGTGCGATATGGGTTGACCGCAAAGCAGGTGTATATTGCAGTCCGGCTATGCCTGATAATGAACATCAGAGGACTTGCTTTGCATCAGCGCGAAACTAGGTCGTCCAACCCTCTGTCTGTCATGCAATCTGTGAATTGGGCCGCAGCAGAGTCACGCCTAGCGGGACGGACGGTGAAATACATTCTGCAGTAGATGGTGAGAACAATAACTTTTAGGTCAGCCAGTCATCTCGCATCATCAACAGTCGAGCTCTGTCAGACACAGGCTAGTAGGATGATTCAGTGAGAGCTTTTTGCATCTTCCAGCCTGTACAGTAATTGTGAACAGAGCCAGACATCGGAACAATTCCGCCAGACTTCCAAAATGCTGGCTATTCAATTTGGCGAAAAATGGTTCCTTGTGCCAGACACGTCAAGGTTACAGACGTCTTGGGTTGGTAGAACGACTTCGGTCGATCATACGACCAGACAAAGCATTTAACTTTTGGCCACCATAACTGACAGCCTGATTGTGAAAATACCGTACCCCACAAGCTATAAAAATCTCCTAGGTCTGGCAAGAACCGTACCTGCTGAGTTGAGGAGTCCTGATTTGAAGAGGGAGAGCGAAGAGCAGCCATTCACAACGAGCATCATGGAGTCACATAGCAGAGGAAAGAGATGAAGAGACATTTGGTGAAGATATTCTGTGACCATAGGAGCGGTAAGCTTAAGTACATATTTAGCCACGTTTCCTATGGATTACAGCTAACTACGGATGAATCATCAAGTGGATAGACGAGAAAAGTGAGCCATACACTGTAGAAGCTCTGTCTAGCACTCAATCAGTTGAGCTCCTCTGTATACGGGTTCCACTTGGACACGATTGAGACTGTCAGTCCGTTTGACTAATTCAGAAACAAAAAGAGTTGGCCAGTGTCCAATTGTAATCTCCTTCTTTATGGTTCTGCATTAATACTTCAGTTCTACCACAACTTACTGGAAGAGCAAAGGATAGCACTACGCTACCGGCCTTCGTCCAGAAAATTTGGAGAGAAACTGAAATCTTATCCTACCCAACGCAGAAATAGCCATTAAGTGAGCATTCTCGATAACCTTCAGGCCCCTTTCCAAGTTGAAAATTGTTCACCACTCAGGGGGCAGAGAATAGAGCGACAAGCGATGACTATTCATAGATCAGTCTTGCCAAAGCCTGATGATCGTGATGATGATGATGATGATGATGATGATGATGATGATGACGATAATTATGGTGATGGAGATATGCCTTAATCTAAAATTCCAAATGAATAATTCGACACCTGGATTCCAACAAAGACTGCAAAGTCTGCCACCAGCCTACGTGTGTCGTAGCTTCAAGATATCGGTTGTCAAAAGCTATGAATAAACCTCAGTTCTTGCAATTATGGGGTTCTGCGGGATAGGAATGTTTGTTCATAGCCACACCACTCGAGTCCAGTGCTTCCCTTTGGTGTGGACTCACCGGAATAATTACGCCAGAACAGGAACAGGGCCGTTCATACGAGAGTGGTGTGGCTATGAACAAACCTCAGTTCATTTACCTGTAGGAACCACGCCTCGGTCGAATCGCTCCTGGGACAGAAGTTAGACTCTACCACACAGTTACCGATAGCCAACAACTCGTGTGAGTATCCCGCACTTACCAGGGTCTAGCCTCATTCATTCTTCATGCACTCAGAACGAATTCACGCGACCTACTGTTAGTCATCTGCGCGAAGAAAAGTCAAATGAAGGCTCTTCGGACTTATTAAATGCCTCGCCCTTTAAGCATATTATTTGCGTTTAAAAGAGGCTCGTGAGGTGCGTAATACTGACGATCCTCGATGGGGACATGTCAACCATATAGCGTCCTAGGCTTCTCAACATGCAGGACGAAAACTAAAAAACTAATCTTCTTCGACCGCTCAAGGTTCACAGATGCAGGTAGAACATTTACAAAGACCATGTAAGGTCATGAATGGATACTTCACGTGGACGAGATAACTTTTGTCAAAACACATCAGACCTACCGAGCAGTAACTCATTCAATGATGGAGACCAAAGTAAAGGTCGAACTCCGGAAACCCCAGACGCTCCGTAAATATGAAGCACTAGGCAAAACTCACGTGTTTGACCAAGAACCCACAGACGAACTATTTTACAATGGAATAAACAGCGTCTAATACGTTAACCCTTTCAGTAAGGATCTGTCTGAAGAAAGACGACTCGCTGCCAGTCAGCTCAATTCCAGGCGGGGTTACATGTTCCCCTGCCTAGGGTGATGCGTCTCGGATATTATTGTGGGGAGTAAAGGTTCGACGGCGACACGAAAGGTTAACTAAGTTTGAATGCTATGTAATAAGACATTCATCCAACAGAAAAGCAAGTAAGATGTAAAAGATTATTAGCTGAGTGAGACTTACATCAAGTAGATATTTTTGTAACGCGAATCGAATGAGGCTGAGAACGACAGCTATGATACAAATGTGTATGAGTTGGGTGATCCGTACTGCGCCGAGCACTCTGAACAACACACCTGAATGCACTGGATACCGTTTCCAATTAAGACCAAATTCACTCAGTCCGATCCAAGATTTGTTCAAGAACTCCAGGAAGGATGGAGTGGGATCGTCGCAGTGCCGGAGCAGTGACTCGAGGTAGGCTGGGGGAAACTCTGTCGGATCAGGTGGAGGCAGAAGAAGGGGCGGATCTTCGCGTAACGATGCCTCAGAAATAGGGAACCACTGGCCAGTTTCCACATCGAAAATGAAGGCAGGTTGCTCCGACGATACGGAGGGATGGTGGTCGGCCAGGACCACAAGTATCACAGATAGCAATGTCAATAGTAGGAAAATAAGGCCAGGCATAGAGATTCTAAAACAGCGCCAAGACCTCATCACAATGTGGGAGATCACAGTAGGTGGATCTGATCAAACCAAACTACCGGATTCGTAAAAATGAGAAAGCTAAAATGAGAAGACACATGGGAAAAGCATTAGCAAAACTGCCGGAAGACGCAGATACCCAAAGAAAATTTGCCCAGGCGTCATGTGAATGCGGCAAAATCGTGGTTCCATCAATCAGTTGTTTTATCTGTGTGACAAGTCATACAAAGGCCAGACTATCATCAGTTAGATATAACTCAACAAAACTCGTAAGACGATCTTGAGCCATGGAAAATGTATTGCGCCTTATGTCGTCCAGTTGAAACACTAAATATCGATTTGTGAGCAGATAGTCAGTCCCAACAGACCACAATCCAAGTACATATACGGTCTAATCAAATAACAGCCTTGCAGCTGTGGTACCCGTGCCGTACCGTGCCATGCAACTCGAAGAAGCATGAGAGGCGAGATGCTATCAGGTTCCCAGAGGCTAGACAGGAAGTTCCGGTCTATGAATGAGTCAAATTCGCCAGTATGAGAAGAAACAATTCCTAAAGACGCCCGTGTTGTACACAAGCGCACAAGAATAAAACTTTTGTGATGAGATTGAAACAACCCAAAGCAGAGATGTTTCGAAGTAAAACTAGAGTTCATCAAATTCCTGAATAAATGAGAGGGTGAGCGATGGACATCATCAACCATCATCAACAAACCATTATCACACGCTATAAAGCCGAGAGGGAAGACAGTACTAGTAAACAATGAAAAGAAAAGGGAAGAGTATGGTCCAAAAAAGTACCATATCTTTAGGGGAAACACTCAAGAGTAAGGCACCTACACATTTGAACAGTGTTGAAATGAACAAATCTGAGCATCACGCTGGAGAAAGGCTGATTACGGACTTCAACCAACATGAAACCAGTACACAAACATAGGCAAACTTTAGCTAGGCAGTCCGGCTAAGAAATGACAACATCCGCGCCAATGCAATTGGTTGCATACCGTGTTGCGCAGGGTTTCCAACCATGTGCAAGCAGGATCACGTGGACCACGGCCAGGAAGGTGTAGAGATTCCACAGCACTTGGTCTCACCGCAGTCGCTTTCACTCTATGTTCCCATATTACGGGCTGTTCTCCGCGAACTTTTCGACAGCAATGGATCGGAAGCGACAACAACGCCTTTGGATAGACGGTGACTGCGCGTACATTTTACGATATCCAAGTAGGTGATAAATGTAACTTGCTACTCTAGTGATTCTTGACCGTTACCAAGTACGCGCATTTGCACCAGTTCAAGTAGACGCTGCAGCTAGACATCTCTTGTTTAGCGACGGAATCCCGATGATCAGACGTAAAAAGACGCTTAAGTTCTCCGGTCAGAGAGGTCAAGTCCCACAACCTTAAAGACTACTCCTACAGTTATCTTGTATACACGCTACTTTTGCCTTGGGGAAATGTCTCTGAAACCATGAACAACGCAAATGGGCGAGCGTCGTTCGTGCGCAATGACTTCACCAGTTACGGTATAGTTGCCGTTAATCCGGCTGTCAGGATGTGTGAACCGACCAGTAGTATCCAGTGACTCATTTGAAGGTTCAGGCCATCGCAAGAGGTTGAGAAATCCTGAATCAAGCACTTTTAAGATGCAAAGCTTATGCTAGAAAGTGTGGTCATCTACGTTATTTACGTTTGGACTAGTTCACGACGACAAATATTCGTCAAAATAAACGGCATCTTCCGCAAAAGCCACGTCCAATAGCCTCTCTCTATTCTAGATTCCTGGCCTCTTGAAATGCGCACTCCATGAGTTTGTCGGAGGCAGCCAAGGTGGAGAGGAGAGACAGCTATGGTGAACTCCATTAGTTGTGACCCCCAACTAGACCGAGGTCTGATAAGGAGCACCGGGAATACTTACAAACCTCAACGGCACCCCCAAACGGCTAAATATATTTGGAAAAGCCAAGCCATCCAGGGTGTTGATGTAAACCGCGTTCCTCGGTTGCGCTGCTCAAGCACTCTATGTGATGTAAAGGTATGATCAACGTTCTCCCTACCAGGTCGTAATCCTAAATTGCGCTCTCAGACATGTGTCTCGCGTGCTGAGCATAGGCACTGCAATATAGAAGCCACTAGCCGTGTTATGACATGGTTGTGACAGTGGGTTCGGATAGGTATAACAATTGATTGGCTCCAATTCTCTGAAACGCACTTACAAAGCAGCTAGCCAGGGGAAAACACAAACATTCACTGCTGTCGTTGAATAACGCTCGAGTAAGCCTGTTTGACTTGCAATCTCGTAATGCTTCAAGACACGAGGGCATAGTATTACTTGGAAAATTGGTGAAATGTCTAAAATCAGGGGCCAAGACTTAAAATAAGGTTGGACGGAAAACACAGAAACAGGGGGCGTGGCTAACTAACATTCCGCTCAACTTCTGTTATGCACCAGGTTACCAAAATTACCCCTGGCAGAACCAATCACTGAAAGCCTCTTAGGCCGCGTCCTGCGGATTAGCGTACCCTCGACAACTCTGACCTTTCCCATCACTTGAACTTTCTGGTTCCACCACGTGTCCCCATCCGCAAGCAGGCTATGCTTAAGCTGACGTCTAATCGATCTTTTGCTTGAATTACGCTCAGGGCCCGGAGAAGTAACAGAGGCCTTCCATTTACACACTCGGAAAGAACAGACAATTTCTGGCGTCACATATAGCCATGGTTGTCCCATCCCAGTTACCGTCGATATTCACCCGCTTGTGATTCGCCGTATGGTAAGCTTTGGTACGTTTTCCCACTGTATGGACTGCAAGGCTTTTCCACTCAGGTTCAACGGGAAGTCGGATGAAAATCTGCCCCGCATGACATAATGATCTGAATCAATCTGTGTACCTCAGAACGATCAGCAAAGACTGGAATGCGCTACCGGTAGCTGGTGATTTCAAGGTTTCTCGGTAGCCGAGGGGCGTCAGAACAAGAGCGCCTAATGCTACTGAAAAAATAACTGGCAACTAGTACAAAGTCGAAAAGAACGCTGATCATCATTGATGAACTTGCGGTTAGCTATTTTGCAGAAGAATATCATCTGATGAACCGGAACTACAGTTATTTCACGTGTAAATGAATGCGACGGTATTTCAACCACTGTAAGTTCTCATGGGAGTGGGAAATTGGACAGAACAAAGTCCACAGGTATCAGGTCGAGTGGTAAAGCCTTAGCTTGCAAAATGGCACCAGCATAGCTCACTGCAGCAGCTGCAATACCATTCGAAGCTAGCGTCTAGACAGAAAGGGCATCGTAAGCGCAACTAATGCACTTGAGCCCTGTATTCCAGTTTTAGCGATGTAGAAGGTACCAAGCGGTAAAGCATCTGGAGTGCAAGAATGGCGTGTTGGTCGATCGGCCTAGAATGTAGTGAAAGCAGAACGAGGCCTGAATAGTTTCGGTTGCTTGTGGTGGATCAATCTGGCAATATAGAATACCAGTCAAAAGAAACTAAAAACCTAGATAATGACTGAGGGAGTCAAGCAATCAGTGAAACCAAGGAGCATGATGAGAGCTGTTGAAAAAGGCTTCCACCGCAAAATTGAGCACAGAACCTGCCGCCTCAAGAACTCGGGATATGCAGCTTCCTCTGTAAGTTATCCGTGAGACAAAAGGTACAAAGATAACCAGTACAGGTAACCCACTTCGAAAAGATCATTCAGACTAACCGGTTAAAAGTGGTCCTCTGGAAAGTGATGTCATGCGGGACCTTACTGTTGAAAAGGAACTTGGAGAATAGACAAAACTGGTTGCTTGTGAACTACAGACTCTCGGAAAAGTGATGGCGATATATCAGTGCTGATCTAGTAATAGGGTTTTCTGTCGGATAAGTTAGCTCACATTGAGACACTAAGCCAAAGGTCCCTTAGCACACACTAAACGTACTGACAGTCTGGGGGAAAAAGGGATGAATCAGGCGTCAACCACTCGACAGAAGAACAGAAATAACATTTGGACAAAATAATATCGTATCGTATACAATGCAAAGGAATATTCATGCTTAAAATCTGGAGAAATGCACCAAAAAAACGTATAAAACTATCAAGAGTGTACGAAATGCACGATTAACGCCATAAGACCATAGTCTCGCGGTCCACCATTGGCGACAGTTTGGATGCCACGTTCACCCTGCCTTCTTCAATCACAAGTGTAGGCCAGCGATATCCCAGTACACAGGGTTCCAACGAACTCAACAGCTTCCGCTGTGCCTCCAACTCCAAGGAAATCGCATAATCCGTATCATCACCATACGAAGTAGGTGAGGGGACGAACTCAGATTTGCGCACCCATGGTCGCTTGTGCGCTGTTTTGGTTGTTCTGGTGGTCAGTTTCGAAGTGGTATCTCCGGTTTTAAAGCTAAAGGATGACAGTGCACAATCATCTGATAAATTTTCCTGATTATCATAAGAATCTACAGCGTCCGAATGAATAAGCCGTAGAGCCAGATAGGCGTTTCGTCTGGATCGCCAGGAACGACTGGTCACATAGTCATCACTATATTCCCAGCTGTGTAAAAAGGGATGGTGATCAGTTGGATTAATATTGCCATTCATAGAAAGTAAAATGGACCGGGCTGGCTGTTCGGAGGACCTTCGGCGCACATTAGGTGTGTGTTGATCATTGGCCTGGACAGCGGAGCTGACGTGAGCAACAACGGACTTGGCAACATGTCCATTATTCGCCAACAATTCTTGTCCGGCCAAAGCAGTAGAATCAATCAGACGATGAACGCTAATCAGACCAGCGGGAGATGGATTAGTGCAGGCTGGTGTGTGACGAAGCAAAGTGGCGGTTTTATGTGTTCTCGTTTTGCGCGACGCATGACTGCTGCGTTTGGGTGCACTACGCTGTGGCTTTCTGCTCGAGAAGTATTTCCTTTTCGGCTTGCTCACTCGAATATGGCGCCGCATTGTTTGTTGGTTTGCATAGTCGGGTTTAAAAGAACCCTAAAATAAGAGAAGACCAAAATAAGTGATTGACTGGGAGATGGTGACCGACTAGCGAGTAGTCGGGAATATGAAAACATCAGGATAGAAACGTGAAGTTTGTTGCCGTCTGGAAAATGCTTGTCTGACGCTCATCGTAGACACCGTATCTACAGATGTTCCAGAAGATGTACTCCTATATAGCCCGTTGAAAATGCAAGTTAGCAGCGCCCCTCGGGCGATACGATGTCCATGATAAAGAGGTGCAATCATTTGGTCTGTAAATTTTTGGCGCAGGACAATTATCCAAGCACATACGACAACGACGGGCACCAGAGAAGGAATGGGTCGAACGGTAAATGGCAGAAATGTTGATCAGATATGTTAGGAGGCACTCCTCCTAACGAACATATTGCTCAACATTTCTCTCTCTCTCTATTTCAGCCTTTCATTGGGCTGTTTTGTTCCATTCCATTCTTGATTCTTCGAATCTCGATATTGGCTGTTCAGTTGCTGCAGTATAATTTCCTCAAGGCTTTTTGTCTTCTCAATTCCGTGTGTAACTGACAAGGTTGATTGACTGATCAGTAGAGAACATAACACTGGCGATAGACTCAATTCGGGTGTGGCTCTTAAAGTGTGAGTATCTTCATAGGGGCTTAAACTATGCTTGAGACTCTCAAATTCGATAACCGGTCTGAACACCAGATGCGTGAACATGAGTAGTTTTATTTACACTGTCTTCATAATGAAATTTCTCCAATCCAACGCCATGGCAGAAATGCTGAGTCAATACGTCTATTCCTGGAATAAGTCAGCATTTCTGACAAGGTGATTGACTGATCAGTAGAGAACATAACACTGGCGATAGACTCAATTCGGGTGTGGCTCTTAAAGTGTGAGTATCTTCATAGGGGCTTAAACTATGCTTGAGACTCTCAAATTCGATAACCGGTCTGAACACCAGATGCGTGAACATGAGTAGTTTTATTTACACTGTCTTCATAATGAAATTTCTCCAATCCAACGCCATGGCAGAAATGCTGAGTCAATACGTCTATTCCTGGAATAAGTCAGCATTTCATATGAACACAGACGACAGTACCTCACAGCATCGACCAGAAAAGCATATTGGCTATCAACTGAGACAGGATCCTGTTGGCAAATCCATATCTTTGGGTCTATCCAGCCAAGCAGTGAGGGTCAGGTGGACCCATCTCGAAAATCGAAAAGCACCAACAGCACCCAGATTCTTCGTAATATCTCCAGTTCTATCGCGTCATATTAGGCCCACCGCTGGGTTTACGCCACTCCAATTAGGTAAGGAAAACTACGTGCTTCTCGACAGACAGTCACTTAGCACACGAAGCACGTGACTGAGTCATCTAAACACTCAGTGCTCGATCGTCCCTCCTGCTTATCCAGAGATCCGTTTCTTCCATTTCGAATTCGTTGGTTCCAGCCGATACAGCCACAGTTCTTAGACATCCGTAATGAAAAAACCCAAAGATATCTCAGAGCCTATAATCGCATTTGCAACCGCACAACACAGTGCGCATCGTAATCTGACGCACATATCCCGTGGCGTCCAATTATATGTTCCTTTGACGCCACAAGTGGCGCAAATTGCCAAAAACAATTATGTTCTTTGAGCTTTGTGCGTTGACTACGTCTCTTACACCAATGTCAGAGCAAATGCGACTTCCCAGATACATATAGTGTCCCATAATTCTGTGCCCTTCCCTGAATTCGTAGAGGCATATTTAAAGATTGTAGGAGCGCAGCACCACTGCGCTTTGTGGGTACGAGGCACTAGTTGAAGAATTAGGTTATCATGGCCATTTTTTCGGTAACACTTGCGCTTCGCAAAAATGTGAACAACGTCGCTTGTATATCACAGGTCAACAAGGTTCTTAACAGAATCGATCTGAACACAGGAGTCACGGAGACCACTCATAGTTCGCCTCACTATCAAACAAAAATGGAGGATGAATGCTCATGCCAGATACCACCGTTGTATGTAAACTTCAGGAGTGTCCCCATTTACTCACACGTCCATACTTAGGTAAACGCACGAAGTACATGATGTTCACGAACTTCTGAGTCATACTCTGTTGTACAAGCGTTTCGAAAATAACGAACCTGTCGGCAGGACCGAACACACTCTTAAATTCAAGGAACACCACGATTGCAGGGCATCTATACGCACATCGTTGCTCTGGAAGAAGTGTGAAGATGTGGTGCACACAACTCCTCCTCGGATAGAATCCCGCTTGCTGTTTGAGGATTGTCTTCACGTACTCTCATGAACAAGGCAAAATGTCCAGTAACAAAAAAATTGTTCAGCTGTAGCACCTTTCTGGCGCCTAACTGCCAGGCCACCCGAAGGAAGCATGGGGGCTGAGATACTGCCAGGTTGCCCAAGCCTAGACAGGAATAGTCGAGAGGCAGAGGTCGGGTTCGAACCACGGACAATCCGCTCAGTGAATTCGCGCTCTAACCACTTGGGCCATCTCGCCCCGAAGTGAGCAGAAGGGCTAGGACACTACCAACCCTAAACAAGAGAAGTCGAGAGGTACAGGCCGGGTTCGACCTACGGACCTTCCGGACCTTCGTACTCTAACCATTGAGCCATCTCACCCCAGTTACAGAAAGGACAAGCTGATTTCTCTGTGCATGCAACAATCCCTAGTGTCACCATTTCTTAACGTGAGCACTACTGTCTACTCACCCTGGTCCGTTGGGACGGTTTCTTTCAGCTAAATAGAGACAGTTGAGTTGGACAAGCACTGACTGATGATTTCACCTCCGTTCTTAAGCAAAATGAGTGGGTGACGCTTAAGGGATAAAAGGCATTCGCGTATTTTTCGAAGACGTCAGAGGTTCCAAATGCACTGTCCACGGCTGTGTTATAGGTAGGGAATCCAAGGGCAACCGCAACTGAATTACCGATAAAAATGTTCCCCAAACTATTCAGATGTTGCTTCTTTCTAGGGACAAGCGGGCCATTTCTTTCGCGAACTGTTTGACTCACTATAAGCCCTTTTGGTCGGCTGCAAAGTCATTTTCGCACATCCCGAGTTTCCTGTTTTTTTTCATCTCTTCAGCCTCCTGGACCCATCAGGCCTCTCGATCACATGTTCTTCTGCACCTGAAGGCCTGGCAATTTATCGAACTGTGGCATACTCCCGACTTGCGGAAATGTGTCCGATATTCCAATACACTTGAAGCTCGCTTCAAGACCCAGTGCTAAGATGTGGTTGGGTGTGCTGCGCCGCGAGCAGAAGGTTCAGTATTTTGCATGGCTGCAGACTATTTTCCGGTAAGAGTCGAAATCAGAATATGCATTATCCAAAAGAAACTTCAGCGGGTTTGCTAGGTGTGCATCTTGCATGCCTCCGAAAAGCTCAAGGAAATACAGCATCAGACAAGCGTTTGATCGGAATCCATGCGTTCCAAAACGAACCGCAGAACAATCAGCAGTGGGTTTTAGATCACCAGAGGTGCGAAAAATGGTGTTCCAGAATGGGTGAAAAAACGGAGCGCAAACCACCGGGATATCACTCTTGTGGCCACAGCTTTGGGGTGTTCTCCGGCATCAGTCTGCGAAGGTTGATTCGTCATCAGAAGTCAGATTCCGGAGAATCAATCTCAGTTTCACCCTGGAACTTATGAAACTGGATCACACTTTTTGACAACCAACAATGATCGTTTTTCTCGATCTCGGATCTACTTTCGACTCCGCTAGTTGCCAGAAATTGTGGTAGTGTCCGACGAATTATTGCCATCGTCTGGGGACAGGTACTCGTCAATGGAAAGTTCTTTCCTGAGCTCAGCGCAACCAGTGATGTGAGCCCAGGGTGCGCCCCCATCGACTTTTCCCCATAACTTTGGAGTCAATTTGCTACTGCCCTACCTACCTCAAGAACCTCGGGGGTAAAAATACTTCCTGGGCGTTCACCCGCAAACGAGTAGTCGGTGATATTGCCGTTAATGGATCAGAATGGAAGTGCAAAGTATTTTAAATAACCTAAATAATTCTGCTGCACAGCTCGATATGAGCTTCGGGCCTGTAAAAGGTAAGGTGATGTTGCAAGGTTGGATGGGATCAAGCCCGAACCTCATGGTTGCAGGTGAACTGGTCGATGTGAAAGGTAGCTAGATTAAATGAGCGACTGCATAATTCCGGCGAACCAGTGAAAAACGAAGTCAATTCTCAATTCTGGAGTACCCGGACAGCGTTTACTAACTTATGACATTTGTGGCACTTGAGTGATATCAGTTTGATTGTCAAGGGTAAACTGCACAACGCCAATGTCCAGTCTGTTCTATTTTATGGATCAGAGAAGCGGCCACTGCGCATGAAAGACCTTCAAAGGCTATGTTTTTTATCATCGGAACCTCCGAAGGATTGAGCTGGTCTGATAGGAACACCAAATCAGGAATGTTGAAATACGTATGATTCGGTTCTGGAAAGTTCACTCTCCCTCGATAGGTCAGCTGGTCACAACCTACAGGTTAAGTCAATTGAGCCAAGTACTTCATGCACCAGAGGAGTGTTTGTCTCGAAAAGCCCTCTTCGCCCAGTCTTCTGTCGGATGGACACAACCCAGCGGCGGTCAGGCCGTGACTTGGCAGCCAGGTACGAAGTCCCTAACAAATCAACTCAGTCGCTTTGGTACCTGCCATGTCCCCAGATGGGGACCACGGGACGAAGCAAGCCAGTGATTAGTGACCCTGACATATACGGCTGTCATTCATTCAATGGCAGTCCTCCATCGACTTCACTGTCCGCCACTTTAGACAAACAGATCCGGGTGTACATTGGGTGATTGCCTCCAACAAATGGCTTTCATTTTATTAGTATTATTCGCCTTGGTCAACGAAGCTGGAACAGCTGGAACCACCGCGCTTTGGTGTACGGTTTATGAGCTGAATGGTCGACTTACTGTAATAGCTAGGTCAACAGAAAAAGGAAATATGGCCAAAGAATTGGATGGAGAGGACAGGTAAGTGACAAG